TTGAATTACAGTATTTTGGGAACAACAAGGGCTCCAGACCTTCGGCCAGCGTATCCAGATTACACGGCCGAACGCCTCCCAACCTGCATTTGAGCGCCACTTCGCGCATTTGATGGAGGAGTATGGCGTTACTCATGCCATCAACCTTCTAGGTTCCAAAGAGAATGAGGCCATCTTGACTTCTGCATATGCAAAACACTTGCAAAATGCAAGAAGCATCTGGGATGACGAGCTCGGTATTACCCACTACGACTTCCACAATGCCGTGAGGATAGGTGGTCATGATAGTGTAATGAGGGATCTCTGGTACGTCGTGGTCTCTTAAGAAATGGTCATTTCATCATAATGAGACGCAGTCGTTTGGAAGGCGTTAATAACAACATGGAACGTTACGGGTTCACCATGTGTGATGTCAGCGCCGACAGTCTGATTACGGAACAAAAAGGCGTATTCAGGACGAACTGCCTTGATTGGTGAGTCGAGTAGCTCATGTCAGAGTCTTTGGGTTAAATGAGCCATAGCTTGGACCGAACAAACTTTGTGCAAGATATCTTCTCTCGTAAAGCCTTGGAACAATACCTCAGTCTCGTGCATCGCGAATGGTTACAGGCTAGTGCGCTCTGGATGCACCACCGCGAGTTATGGGCAGAAAACGGAGATGCTCTCTCCCGTATCTATGCTGGTACTGGCGCCCTGAACACCAGCGTTACTCGGACTGGGAAGAGAACATTGGCAGGTCAGATACGTGGTATTAAAATATAGTGACATTTCTGATGTACCTTGAAGGCGTTTTGTCCGATGCGACAAAGAGCGTGTCGAGAGCATACATCAATAATTTTCAAGATAAAGGAAAGCAAATCGCCATTGACATGTTTCTTGTGAGTGATTTCTTTTGATCTCCTGTCTGAGTTACGAATACTTTAATTAGGGCAATATGAGTAACCAACGTCAGGTGAATATATTCGACGCGATACACGACTCAGTCGGAAAGGCACTGCAGCAACGGTGAGTGGAATCGGCACGCAGTATGATCTCACTGCCAATGCTGTCATAAGCTTATCCGAGTACTCGACTACTCAGTCGTGCAGTATATTCGTAGGAACGTGGAATGTCAACGGCCGGGTAAGGTGGATTATATGTATTCTTGCCACTGTTCACCAGTTCTCCTCCGCGCAGCTGCCGTCATCAGAAAGCCTGCTACCGTGGCTCTTCCCGCGGGACAGTAAGTCTGGTTCTTCGCTCTGGGTCGCTGTTTAATAGCATCGTCTTTTAAATAGATTTTCTAGAGTATAATCCTTGTTGCATTCCATGGCGTAACTGATAAATTTGTAGACCCGATATCTTTGTTCTCGGCTTCCAGGAAATTGTTCAACTTACTGCACAGCAGATTGTGCAACCAGATCCAGAAAAGAAGTAGGTGATATTCTGCCTTACGAAGAGCATGCGTCCTGACGTCGTTAGGCGTATATGGGAACAGAAGGTCATGGAAACCCTTGAACGTCGACCTCAGAGAACGTATGATTATGTACTCCTCCGCAGTGAACAAGTGATATATGTTCACGCTCAGGTGAAGTAATACTGACGCCATCATTGCAGCTTGTCGGGACTGCAATTCTTGTCATAGTTCGCTCAGATCTAACGGCTGTCATACGGAATGTCGAAGGAGCAGCTCGAAAGGTGCGCCTTGACTACACAATTGGAGGTCCTGGCTTGAACTTTATATTAGACTGGTCTGCGGGGCATGTCCGGAAACAAAGGCGGCGTTGGTGTCCGACTGGACTATTACGATACTAGCTTCTGTTTCCTGACTGCGCACCTTGCCGCCGGACATAGCAACGTCGAAGAGCGGAACGCGGACTTCCACACAATTGTGAAGGGTTTGCACTTTCAAAAAGGAAAGACGTTATCCAGCCACGAGTAAGCTTGATTCCCGGGAATGTAGAGCTTGACACGTATAGGCCCCCAACAGAAATATCATATGGCTTGCAGACACGAATTACAGGATAGACCTTGACAACGAAAGCGTCCGAGCCCGGTCGGAGGCCGATGATTTTGACTCTTTGGTAGCAGCAGACCAGGTGTGTTCGACGATTAATAGATAAGTACTTGCCCTAGACTAATCCTACGACAGTTGAGACAGGCAATCGACAACGGGGACGCATTTGCCGGATATGAGGAAGGGCCCATGCTATTTCGTCCCACTTACAAGTACGACCTGGGCACCGACAACTATGATACCAGTGAGAAGATGCGCATTCCGGCTTGGACTGGTAAGCGGTTCCGACGTTCAGGGGGTGCACTCACGTGGATTACACATCTCGCAGACAGAATTTTGTTCAAAGGCCGATTCGATCTTGCAGTATACTCCCGGGCTGAGCTGAAAGGCTCGGACCACCGTCCTGGCAAGCTCTTTTCCGGTTGTAATCACTACACGCCACTGATTGCTGGCACTAAGTTTTTGCGCTTTTTAGAAGCGAGGTGCGAATTATAGATGTCGTAAAGAGAGCCGCATTATCTCGGCTGCTCTTGGAAAACACACTGTCGGCTACTCCGGGCGAGAAACTTGATGAAAAACTTGCGTCTTTAGTACTTCCCGATGAGTCCTATTCTGAATGTCTGTGTTGTATTATCTTAGTCATCCGCGAAGCTCATATCTTAGTACTAGTACCCCCGCCCAGCACGGATGATGATGCATGGTGGAACAAACCTGGTAAGGATGTAGCGACACCAGCACACATGCTCTGACACGTTTTCAGAACATCCAAATGGCATCTTTCCCATCTCAATAGCTCACCTCCTGGAATCAAATGCAGCCAACCCTTTTGACTCGCCAGAGGAATCTCCCTTTTCATCCTCACCATCGTCCTCCGACGAAGAATTATATTCACATGCAATGGGGTTACAATCTCCGATCACACCTGTTCGCAAACCTCCTCCACCTCCCCCACGCTCGCGGCATACCAATGTGTGATACGGAGCTTAGATTAATTCTATGGTTGGCATGGTCATAGAGGTCAGCAATAAAGTACTGAATGAAAGAAGTACAGGACTGTGGCACGGACATATCAAATCAGACCTTGCTTTTTCAGGTCTTCATAAGTTTTCCTATTGTAAACATTGCCCTCGTCGTCCTCAAGTTCTTCCATTGTTTCCTGCTCGAAAATCTCATGTCGTCCCTCTTGCTTCAACTTTTCTGCCACTAAATAGAATTTCAACGGATACTCTCTTTGAAAATGAAAGCACTTACGTGAGAGGGCATCTTCAATGCGAGTAATTTCGTGGAAATGTTTTGTATTTGGCAACCCCAAAGCTCGCATGCCAAAAGCGTGCCGTGATTCCTTTATGATCGGTGATTAGCCTACCACTATCAAATCAAAGCAGGGCTGCATACTTGGAAGTGTCGGTCAAAATTTTTCCTGTTACAGGGTTGTAAGCTTTCATACCGCCATCCCGAAAATCAGAAACTACTACCTTCCCATGTACACGTGGTCAGAGCATATCTCGCAGCGATATTCTACTCCAAGGCCGTGAAGCTTGTAGAGCCAGTATGGAATTGGCTTGCCATCCCAGCCGAGCGGAAGTTTCAGGGGATTGTAGATCCTCTCCTCTTCCTCTTCTTCGGCCGCGGCATCGCCAGATGTATTGGTGGGAGCCGGAGGAGGTTTCGATTGCTCAAGCAGTTCTTGTTCGCGTTCGCGCGCTGTGAGAGAGAAGCGACGTTCCACATTGGACTTCGTCTCGCTGATAGTGGGGGCCAGCACCACAAGAAGGGAAGTGGAAAGATACGTTAGCAACGCGGAGCTCCGGAGTCTGGATTTCACAAGTTGAACATTACTCGCGGGTTGTGCGGTAATGTTTTGTGTACCGTTTGGATTTTGCGGAGGTGTTTCAGAAACGGCCTGTTTGGCAATTGCTTTCATATGTTTCTTGGAGGTCAAGTGGGCGTCATAAACGGTCTTCTTTGAATAGCTTTTCTGGCCTGGGCGATGCTAACGTGAACACATGCGATTCGTTGAGATAAACGACTTGACTGACAAGCAGAGCACCACGTTCCCTCTCCTGCGCCGTCCGCATTCGCTGATCGCTTAACGGTTTTACTTTCATCCCAATCAACAAACTCGCCATCTTCCCACTTTTGGTAAAATTCGACTTCGGCTTCCTGGTGTTTTGTTTGAATATCTACAAGCGGCTGTGTCCGTTTTACAAAGGACAGGAGATAATCATGCAAGTGTTGAATGTACCTGGATAAGGATTGAGGGCAGCTCACGCCAGGATATGCACCAGCTTACACTTCGTAATCTTTCGTTGCTCTAGCCTCCTTCGAAAGCTCGCTGTGCAGTAAGCCGTTTTGAGCGGCAAGCAAGATATCAAGATACTGAAGGTAAGGCAGTCGTTTTGAAATGTTCTTCAAGTTATTATACGCGGTGTGATTCGCATACAAATCAAGATACTTTCCGTATGCTTCTTCACCGGAGAAAAGCAAAGATATGGCTGAAAAACAAAGGTGAAACAAAGGAAAATTAAGGCTGCTGTCAACGCACGGTCTTCCTCCTCGTAATCATCATCCAGTCCATCTTGATTACCCTCCTCCAAGATGGCAGCAAGCTCCATGTCGAAGCCTCCTGCTACAGCATCAGGATACTTGTTGTAGTGGTCCTGAACCTTCACCAACCGCGCATAGAACTCAGAAAGGTCATTCTGCGCTGCTGCTGGAGCGCTAATTGCGCCTATTTCAGCTTTCCGCGCATCCTCATCAAGGTAAGAGTTGTGCAAGGCTGTCACACGCGACGAAATGCGATCCAAGACTTGAGCTGCTTTGTGTTCTGTCTGAATCCTGATTTCATGACTTGCTTGATTTCTTGACAGCAGTGAGTAGAGAGCGGTTTCGTATCTTTCTATCTCCTCGTGTGTCTGACGCTGTGTTTCGATGATGGAGTCCATGTCGCCCAAGACTATACTTACTGGAAAGTTCACGTCCAAATATTGAGCTGGTTAGGTGGTATTTTCAATCTCCGATCTTTTCACCACCTCGCCCATCTTCCCTATAGGTCAACATGTCTGGCATCAACCCTGGAGACGAGGCAAGTTTGTCAAACAGCCCAGAGAAGGGCAAAATAAATTGCGTGGTCGTGCATGGTCTAATTGATTTCGCAGAAACTTGTATTTGAGTCCTCCGAGGCAGTCTCGGTTGTGTCGACTTTTGACGACCTCAACTTGAAAGAGGACCTTCTCCGCGGCATATATGCGTACAGTAAGTTTATTTCGCTCCTTGCAGTGTTACAAGTGCCGAAGTTTGTGTACAGACTTCGAGAAACCGTCTGCTATACAGCAGCGAGCTATTCTCCCAATAACACAGGGTCGCGATGTCATTGCACAAGCGCAGTCTGGAACCGGTAAAACTGCCACCTTCTCGATATCCATTTTGCAGTCTATCGACGTCTCTGTTCGCGAAACACAGGCTCTGGTGCTATCGCCTACGCGCGAACTGGCGACCCAGATTCAGTCAGTGGTTCTCGCTCTCGGTGACTATATGAATGTCCAGTGCCATGCTTGCATTGGAGGCACATCCATTGGCGAGGACATTCGAAAGTTGGAATACGGTCAACACGTGGTGTCAGGAACTCCTGGTCGTGTTTTTGACATGATTCGACGCCGTGCTTTGCGGACGCGCAACATTAAAATGCTGGTTCTTGATGAAGCAGACGAACTGCTCAACAAGGGATTCAAGGACCAAATATATGACGTGTACCGTTACCTCCCCCCAGCTACTCAGGTTGTCCTACTGAGTGCGACGCTACCTTACGACGTGTTGGAGATGACGACAAAATTTATGACCGATCCCATTCGTATCCTCGTCAAGCGTGATGAGTTGACGCTAGAAGGGATCAAACAATTTTTTGTTGCTGTAGAAAAAGAGGACTGGAAGTTCGACACACTGTGTGATCTATACGACACACTTACCATCACACAAGCTGTCATCTTTTGCAACACCCGGCGCAAGGTATGCCTCCAAACAAATTCCTCTTCAATGTAACTTACTGGTTGCCATAGGTTGATTGGCTGACTGAAAAGATGCGAGCGGCAAACTTCACTGTGTCATCGATGCACGGTGAAATGGTTCAGAAGGAAAGAGATGCTATAATGGCGGAATTCCGTGGTGGCACATCGTGCGTCATTTTTTGGCTTGCTTGAATCGGGAAAAGTTTTGATGTCTATTGTAGTCGCGTGCTCATCACGACAGATGTTTGGGCCCGAGGGATTGACGTCCAACAAGTCTCCCTTGTCATCAACTATGATCTCCCGGCGTAATTAATTTTGCCTGGAGTCTTTTTAATCTACTGACTGAGCCGCTTCACTCAGCAATCGTGAGAATTACATACATCGCATTGGGCGCTCTGGTCGTTTCGGCCGGAAAGGTGTTGCCATCAATGTACGTTATGCCCTCATCGCTCCCGCTTGATATTCTCATGTGTAATTCGTTAGTTCGTGACTGTCGATGATGTGCGTATCCTGCGTGACATCGGTATGTCATTTTTTAACTGGTTACTTTCATCACTCACTCCACCCTAGAACAATTTTACAGCACACAAATTGTACGTTGGCTCCTCAGTCGTTACTTCATGCTGTCTTCATTGCTAATGATTCAATCCACAAGGACGAAATGCCGGTCAATGCTGCAGAGCTTATCTAGGAGTGATACGGCAGACCGCAGTCAAGTTATTGCTTGCATTGAGCACGGATGATATTCAATGGTCTGCATATTTGTACTTTATGAGGTTTTATTTTTTTGCATTCCCTAGTTGTGGTTGTATCCCTTCTCCTTGACTGACTGGCATCTGCAAATTTGTATGGTCGTCACTAAAAGGCCGTGTTGTCTTTGATTCTGGGTACAAATTCATGTGAATAATGATAATTGTATGCATGGTATTCCCATCACTTATGCCCTTTCCCGTTGCGGGAAATGGGCATCGCATGGATAGAAGGCGACGGTTACCCAGTTTATCCGTGCAGTGCCTCCAGTTAAGAGCACGTAATATTTACTCTAATTTATTTCTGTCCCTTTTCAATCTTGATTGGATCGGTGTTATTCTTTGCTAGCCCTAGTAGCTCGGCGGTTTCAAATTGGGCTTGATCTTCTGCTACCTTGTTTTCCCCAGCATGGTCATATCTGATGTTGATGACAGTACTTTAGGAATGCGGTACCCCACCGCTTGCCATGACAGCATCCATCTGGAATATTTTCGGTGGTATCTGCGCTGAGCTTGCACCACATAATTGAAATTTTTTCGAACGAGCAGTCTCGAGCAGGTGGCAAGGGCGCATATCTTTCATATTGGTGCATGCATTCCCACCGTGTAAGTGATATGTCGCGCGTGTATAGTTCTACTGCTGAGGGCGGAGATCAATTCTTCATTTGACAATCACATCTTCCAACAGTTGCGGCGTCCGCGACAAAATTCGTTTGCTAATGAAGCCCTTCCTGGCGAACCATTTTTTGAAATTGTATTCAGAGCATGCCGCTGTTCGATGCGCATGTCAGGACAACTCTGATTGCGCATGTGAAGTAGAAGGTGTTGATCTGACTGATGTGGAGTGAATAGACGAACAGCGTGGCTTATTTCACGGACTCGTATGGACAAATATGATGACCCTGAACGGATGGTAGGTTAACGACTGCTGGCTCCAACGCGTCATACTTCCACTTGTGGCTTAAATAGTACGTATTATGAGATCTAGAAAAGGTACCTGGTACTGGTACTTACAAGCCCCTATGGCCCTTGTGACGGGTAATTGTTCTGAAGCGGCTCAATTCCCCCGTGTTACACGCCAGGGCATAAGCATGTGTGACCGGACAGCTTCAATGCGGTCCACGTGAAGTCATGAAGCCAAGAAGGCACAGTGGAGGGAGAAGTGATTGCCAAAGGTGGTGATACGTACCATAGATGCACAACTCGAGATAGAACCAGAGTTTAGGGGTATGTGCCAATCATTTGAAACCAACGGAGGCTTCGATAGCATATAGCATGACTTGAGTCTATTTCATGCGGTCTTTGTGCACGATAAACGATAAACGACCTTCATTGGCTGACTAGTGGGGGCGTAAGGGTTTATGTAATGAAACGGTAAATTATGCGGGTACCGCGCAACGCGTCGCACCATGTTCGAATTCTATCACGGTTCCTGGTCCCTCTTTTATTTATGGACCGAAGGAAAACAGGACAAACCCGGAGGCTTTGGAGAGACGATGCGACAATCGGATGCTTTGACGCTCTGAAGTTCTAACAAAAAACGTTACAGGACGATCGAAGATCAGATTCATTGGGATACCGGGATTCGACTCCTTTTCAACGCTCGTTTATAGAACTTGTCGGAAGCATCGGGGAGTTAATCTTGTGGCGGTATAATTGGCTTGTACTGTCCAAGTAAGCAATGAGCGTTAGTTGACGAGTGAAGCCGCAACCAAGAAATATGGACACGAAGACAATGTCATGCCGACACAAAGCCACCGGTCCACTATTTGGGACTAAGCGTCAGCCGCGGCGAGATAAAATGCTAGTCATGGTGACCGTGGAGTTGCCTCTTCGCGCCTGAGAGGGAACAGTTAGCCGTAGAAAGTTTGTACAGCCAAGGGCCATTGAATCAACACGTTTCTCTGCTGAAACCGTGAACAAACATTTTTGAGCGCGCAGGGATGCGATGCGGCAATCGCACGGTGTATGACGTTTAACCTGCCACAGCAAGAAATGGTCAAAAATTATGGGAATCGTTTGGAGGCCAAGATCAGCCTGAGCATCTTGAGAGCGAATGGGCGTTGGCCCGGTGGGAGAAACTGTCACAGACACCGAGGAGCTAATCATGCATCATGTGGCAACATAGTAATCAAATTCCAAGTACTGACTTACTGTGTACACTCGTAACAGCATCAGTTAATGGATGAAGAGAATCAGGATATGAGGCCAATAATATCATGCCGGCACAGGTCGACCACTATTTTGCGACCAATCATTAGTTCAAGTACGGTAGATTGCCTATACTTATGTCAATAGCTAGCCGCGATGCGATAATATGAATGTCCATGGGATATATACTTTATCACAACTTATGCTTGTGTTTGAGCAGGGACGGTCCACCATGTTCTCGTGCTGTTGGCATGTGTTATCTAAAATAAAATGTGAGCCGCCGGTGAAAAAAAAAATCACCTAAGTATTTCCAAAGATTGTGAATTTTACTGGTTTTTAGTGCGGCCGTACTAATTGGCAAACTTGAATATTCTGGAGAATTATGCGGCCGAGAAGATCTTAGACCTTCAGGCCCGCGGGCACCAAAATTACCACGTCGCTGCTACTAAGCAATTATTCGAGTAAATCACTATAGGCACAATTAATCATCACAGGATACCATGTGTCGGGTATTGGTTGGATGTATCCATAAATGTTACACCTTTTGACCAGTCACCACAACGCCATAGAAGGTGGTTGTACATTACAAACAGTGGAGACATCTAAAGTACTTGAAATAGAATTCCCAGACTGTCCCCAAATAATTTCGGATCATGAAGATACTTGACAATGACTACGTGACTGCACCGACCAGCTCATTCAGTGCTCGTTTTTGGATAGTCCGTGAGGACCACGCTGTTCCTTTGAGTAATGATAACGCTTCTCGAACTGATATGAAAGCCATGCTTCAACGCCGGGGAAGCCCCACAGCATTTGCGAAAAGGCCGGAACCCCGCAGTCACAGCACAAACATTCTGCAGTGCCATGAGCAATTTTGGCGGATCAAGCTTATCTTGGAGAAGTTGATCTGAGCTGTATCATCACTTCGGAACGAAGATGAGGATAATAGAGTTGGTGGGAGCGCGAATTGCGTGCGCAATAACCAATCGAGACACTGTTGATATGGCGCTATCGGTGATAACATGACAGCTCAAAGCCACGTTCACCGAAGTACGTCAAGCCGTAAAGCTACTCACTCAGTCGCCTCCGGGCCGAAAGGGGTAACTTAGGCTATAGCAACGTTTCAGTCCTGAAAGTTTTCTGCAAGAATTGTGGGACATTATCTGGGAAAGAACACCATTTTGAGCTCGCCCCACGTCTGCAGAAGAAGAAAAAGGTATGCTGTCCCGGCTCCTCCGCGCGCAATCATCCGCACTTCTTGATGGAATTATCAAATTCCGTCGTCCTATAATGTGCATGACATTGACGATATGATGCCGCTCGTAAGATATCGACAAGGGTCAGGGTGCACATTTGTTTTGAGCTCTGATCCCTTACTCATCAATCGTGCGACCACTGCGGGATTGCCATTTCCATAGCTGTTGGTCTTCACCGCTAGACGGATGCCGAGAATGGATTATTAGTCTTCCCCATGTCGGCCTCATTTTACTTGTCGTGTAAACGGGTGAGAGAACTATCTCGTTAGAATGGCCCTGATTTCAGGTATAAAAGACATACATATTGAAAAGCTCTAAAACCACATCCTGATTATTATGTGTTACTGGAGAAGGTGGGTAGCTACTTGTTCGGCTGCAGCTACCGTCATTGACTCGCTGTTGCTCAGAGTGCGCAACTATTACAAAGGGTATGATCATATTCAGTGGCCAGAATAATTGACGCTATCTTCCTTCGTAGCTGCGGGCACTCAATAAATCTGGTGCGATTTTTGTTAGCTCCGCAAGTGTTTCATTTAGCTAATACATCACCTTGTGCAGCCCGACGAGGAGGTCAGAAGCCAGTAACTTTTTTGTTCACCATCTCACCAAGTGTCTAGATCAAGTGTGACCTTAGAAACTGCAAATTCAGCCCCAAGCATTCACCGACATGTATACCGCCGCAGTGCACTAAGGTGTGCTGGCAGTAGTAAGTCTTCATACCACTGAATTCCAAACACCGCTAACTTGCGACGATATAGCCGTCAATACCCCCAGCAGTATGGTATGTCAATAAGTCAACTGCACTGACTCTATGCTGATATCTGCTGCGTTCAGGACCACAGATTGACAAGAAGTGCCCCAGATGTAGTGGACGCGGCTGAGCATTGTTTGTGAACATCATCTTGAATGGATATGATACAGACCGACACTGCCTGACAGATGTATCATATTGCGATCAAACACACATAAGCTGAACACATGAGTGAGCGTGAATATGCAATAAGAAGCTCGAGATGGAGTGGCTCAATCATCCACAATGTTATGCTTCTTTTTCAACTGTGCTAGTTCTTCCTCTCTTCGGGCTAGATCGGCTTTAGCGGCGGCAGCATCTTGTTTCGCTGGCATATGATACAGAACAACAATATATCGCTCTTGCAGATGGAAACCATTCAAATGTTCAAGTGCGTTTTTTGCCTGCGTTAGCGGGAATTAGATAGAACGAACCCATCGGGACAAAGGAAAACTTACATCCATAACATCATCGAATACAACAAAGGCGGTTCCTTTCGTCTTTTGCTCATCCCCTATGCGTATCTGCCTGATGCTGCCATATCGTCCAAAGAGATCGTACAAGTCCTCCCCGGTAATCTGGTAGTTAAGGTTTTTGACGAAGAGTATACGATTAGCACCTGGAGGCAATTTTGACTGCGGAAAGTTCAGCTATACTTATAGATGTAACTTTGCGGGTGCTCACAGTTGGTCTTGGGGCAGCCATGGTGGTTGTGTCGACCGAGCTTGACAGTTATTATGTAATATTCAATGTTTCACGAGCTCCACAATTTAGTGATGATCCTGAACGGTACTACTAAGTATGTACGTCGTCACTTCTGGTCTTGCATCCCCCCCTTCTACCTCACTCATGGTCTACATTGCCTGCATGCTCACTGTATCGTTGGTTGCATTCTATCTGCTGCGTTTATGCTCGACAACTTTTCGCTCTATTCTCCCAAGTTGAAATTTATTGAGTCCCCAATACCTTCGTTACTCCAGGCTTCAAGCCTGGTCATACCCTCGCGCTGCCTCTCTACGACTTGCATGCTCCACCAGAACATCCCTATGTGTGCACGCCCCGTGCCTATTCAGCGTTGGTACAGCCCTACACAAGGTCACAACAATTGGACACTGAGTGTGCTTCGCTCGTGTGGAAAATACGTCTATGTGGTGCCGATTCGTGTGCAGGTGCTTGGAAACGTCACACCATCTGTTTGTCGAGTGTCGTCGTTTTGCAGAAACGCGCAACAAGTCGTCGCAGGAAGTGTTTGATTCAACTTCCGTGCTTCTTCGAGAGGCAAAAACAACTACTCAAACAACGGGGATTTATCTGCGCTCCGCACGGCGCCACAGTGTTCGTTGATTATGCTCTATTCCGGCCGATACACACACCCCGACATTACCTTGGAGTTGTACCTGCAATCAACGGTTCCGCTAGAACAAATTTAACCTGTATTGGCGATGAAAATTGCGTCAACGGGGCATATTGCGAGTATTCGTTTGGCAGGTCAAATTTGGAGAACTTACAGGTGTATCGTCAATTCATGGGTTGGAAAAGTTCACCATGCTTTTGACTTACCTACGCATCTACAACATCTCCATCCACGCTTATGATTTTTGTGCATGTCTTTTGCCTGCTCAATGAGCTGACGAGGTGCTTACTGTTACGCCTGAGTTACATCAGTAGCATAGTCAACCAATGAAAATCATTCATCTTTCACATCTCGGAGTTACAAGTTCGAACTGACTCAAGTTTCAAGCCTCAGGAGGTCTGGTTACTTGCTAGCCAATTGACTGGAAACTTCAGTTTGTGGTAGTACAGAAGTCTCATTGTTTCTTGAAATTCATCAAGGGACGACACCCCTCTTATAATTAATATTAACACCAATGGAGTAAATCATCGACTGACGGGTACATCATGAATCTTATGCTAACGGTTAAACGCCCCAAACGACGACTTTCTTGAGAGCTACAAGGCAATCTCTGACAAAATTCGGGGTAGAGGTAGGCAATAAGAGGTAGGCGACTTGAGGGGAATATTGTGACAACCGAAAGATTCAAAAATGAGAGCTTTGGGAGGCTTTGGGGTAGTTGGTTTACTACCTGACGCTGTCCACGAGAGCGCGCCCTTCGTCGTGAAGTAAAGAACGACATTCAATCTCGATGACTCCATTCAGTAGTGATAGACAGTATATATCTGACCTTGATTACCCGGGAGGGTGATAAGGTTCAGTATCAAGATTGCACGCAACAGTGATAGTTTCTCAGAGGTCAAAACAAGTGTGTTTTCTTCCGCATTGAATATGAAGTAGAGTAGGGGGGGGGGGGGAATAACTCTTGTATGACGATCGGAATCCTACGACAAGAACATGCATGCAAGATGATGATGCTTCTAGGAGAACAAGCTCGGCAACCGATCATTTGAAAGAACTGTGACGGTGTGGAAACACGGGTATACTGAATTGTGAAGTAAGCGGTTCTGTCTTCGAGACGGCAGATAGGATTCGACATCCACTCGCCATATATATTTTAGCGAGTCACCGACGACAGACGGAAGATGCATCATGTTGAATATGAACTCGTCAGCCGTTCGACTGGTGTACACTCCTCTACCCCCCTCACGCAAACAACCGTTGCAGCTTCTGTATCTACTGCGTCTGGGATGGTGCACTTGATGTCCTCTGCATTGGGACATGGACAATCAGCCGGTCTCTCGACACACGTCAGGGTACTTGGGCACAGGTATTGGGAACATGGGACTAAAATATCAAGAGTGAGTGATTCCTTGAGGTAGTATATTGTGGGTCTGGATACTGACGAGCTTCTGAATGCGCCATCCATTGGGAGTTACCAGAAGGTCCAGATCCTCTTTGTTGTTGTTGCTGCTGCTGCTGCTGGGAATGCCCAAACATCTGATCAAAGAAATTGAATTGTGCACTCGCCAGCGGGAGAGAAGCTACTAGAAGCAAGATCAGGCTGCGCAGTTGCGTGGTCATCATTGAATTGATGATTCGTAGTCTCGCTGTCCAGAGGTTAACCGTTATACGTGTCGATTGCCACGTGCACGACACGGTACACCGTGTAGCTAGTTGTAGTACGCTTTAAGTTACGGCGAAAATTTCATCCACCGACTAAGTTACAGAGCACTCAAGTCAGAAAGAACATAACAAATTAGACTTGAATTAAACCGACAAATCCAAGGTCATGAGTTGAACCACATGTTGTTCCAGGTAACCGGCGTTACAGTATCAAATATATGTAACTGACAATGTGCAGATAGTCATCGGAGATTTCATAAAATGTGAATAATAGATCCGGGCCAACCAAGTATCAAAAGACAAGACAGATGGAAGATAGGAGAAGATGGATTGCGTAGATCAAATAGACTGCCCTGTAAGGTTCCTCCCAAAAACGCCCTCCCATGTCCCTATATTGAGAAAGTGGCTATCGCGGGTTATATTCAAGAAGCCTGAGAAGTGATAACCCCATCCATGCAAAAACTGCTAGTTGTGTTGCCGGACAGCTGGCGGGATTCCCCTCGAGTAGTAGATCGATCTGAGCGGAACGTTTTTTCTATCAGAAGAGGAGACCGTGTTAAAGAGGCCTTCTTGGCTTTCTTTCGAGGAGGGATATTCTCTTTAGTGATCTCCCTTTCAGAAAGGCCTTCTTCAGAACTACTAGGCCACGAGTCTTCGTTATCAGAAGACGGACTTGTTCGTCGCGATGGTGTAAGAAATATGTGCGTATCTTGATACGTGTCAAAGCCAGGATAATGCACTGACTGACGATCATGAGGCAGTGGCATCTCACGAAGAATTGCCATTGAGGCGGCGCCAGGTTCAGCGCCGCGTTGGGATGACTGCAGGCGAGACGAGCGACGGAGGCTAAGTGCAGATGCCGAGTCGTCTCCTGAGGCATTGGTTGAGCGTATCAACTTTGGCGAAGGTCTTCTCGGTGTTCGTCTATCCCTTGAGCTTCCCTGAGTGGCACCAGCACGTTGTGCGGGTGATGTCAATGTTATTGACGAATCGTGCGAGGCTCCGACATCACTTCCAAAATATGGAATGTGGTGTTGCAATGATGACAGGGAGGCTTCACCAGGTAGGAGAATGCCTTCTGAGTGCAAGATGCGGCGCTTAGCCGGACTAAAAATGGTAGATTTTGAAGGCGAAAGAGGGCGTTTGGCTGGTTTAGCGGCATTGGTGGGAACTGAATTGGCGCCGCTGGCTAGAAAATGTACAAGTGGGAGGTCTTGAAGAGGACCAGTACGAGCCATCATGGGCATTGTAGAGAGCGTTCAAGAAGAGAACAGGGAATATTGAAGTGATATACTTGATTGATAGCGGATGGTTGGTGTCAAAGGCGCTTAGCGCTTAGCCCTCGCGAAGAGCCGGATTTCATAACGACACGTGACATAATGTGTCCTAGTCATACTACTCGCAATTCGATTACTCTACGTATTAAGCAGGAACTTCCGCAAGCATCACCACATCGAAAACACCAGTACCCGTTTGGTTAGGGCGTCCCATGACCAGATTACCTGATGGTGTGGACAAGTCGTCGAAGTCACCATACAACGTCGCGTCTGAAAGGAAGGCGGCAGTTGTCTCGTACGACGCCTTTAAAAGGGGCGAAGGGTTACTTGAGAGACCCTTGCGGTTGAATGGCTTGTAGGCGCCTTCGAATGTCTGGCCGTTGATAGGATCGTGAGTAAGTGAGTTGCGTGCCTAGTCAGTAAAGGGTCTTACCATATAATCTGCAATGAGTTCCAGATGCCTCCCATCAACATCAATCTTGTAGGCGTCAAATACTCCACCGATCTCGCGTAATATCGCAGCACGCGCCATCTCCACGCCGTAAGCTTTGAGGATGGAGTAGATGTCATTGGAGTAGATAGTATCCAGATCAATGATGTTGTCATCTGTCGCGCCTGTAAATTGCCAGATACCCCGCAAGTTGGATCCATTGGTAGTCAGCTAGATTTGTGATCAGCTCCGAGCTCAGGTTGAACTATACAATAGCGTACTCGTATTTTCTCCACTCCGCGTTCCTTTACAACCGCACTAAAGCAATCTGTGATGCCAGGGATCTCTCGGATAACAGTCTTCAGGCAAGTGCGCTCGACTATGCCCACCAGCAAAATTTTTGGGAAGTCTGCAGGAAACTGAAAAATTATGAAGTGACCGCAAAAAATGCAAGGCATAAATGACACGAACCTCGAGCTGAATAGAGCATTTTGACTTCGTAAATGTGAACGAAGTTGCTTGTTGAAAGACATCCATGAAGGCGTCCGCTACGACTTCAGCTTGTGCGTGAATAGCCGTCGGATGACCAATTTTATCGTCGTCGTCTTCTTCGCCTTCGCCACCCTCTGCCTCTGAGGCATAAGCCGCTTCGATAACGGCATCGTCCAAGTAATCCTTTTCACTGTCATTGTCAGACTCGTAGGATGTCAGTTCCTTCTGTTGACGAGCTCGCTTTGCGTCAACAGCATCACCATCCCCTTGCTCACTCTGGCCATCAACATCCTTACCACGGCCTGGGCCCTCACCCTCACCCTCGCCATCTTCAGCCTCCGCCTCGCCAGCGACAGATTCTTTTGATGCCTTCCCTTTCCCAAGCTGCGCTATCTGGCCCTTCAGATCTGTGTCGAGCTTCTTCATTTCCGTCTGAATCTCCTTCTTGAGTATTGACGGAAACTTCGCTGCAAACACAGCAAGAACTTCCTCGGGCAGAACGTCATACTCCTCGGTGTATTCTTCCGCGGGGAAGAAGACGATGTCTATAATGAATTCGGTCCGACGTGCATCGCTTTGCACAGTCAAACGCTCTTTGACCGTCAAATTGTCAACCAGCTGAGACAACGTCAATTTGCTAGCCCGTTTGCAAAAAATGTCAATGTCCAACTGGGACACGCCAGGCGCAACTTCCATAGTCATTGAAGGTGTCTTGGGCTTTTGTGAAGCTGTCATTACAATCTCCCGCAACCGAGGAATACCCAGTGTTACGTTAGCAGCTCCGTGACCTACATCAGAAGTATGAACATTCAGCACGTTGGCAATTTTATAACAAAAACTGACCTGCAAAGTGGAACGTGTTAAGTGTCATCTGAGTTGACGGTTCTCCGACGCTAAAAAAAAGTAAGAATTAAAATATGCACGGGGTCGGAAGCTTACCCCTGAGACGCCAACAAACCAACAGCTTCCCCAGGTTCCACCAGACTTCTTAGATACTTGATATTCATGAGCAAGTTGAAATATCTGGTTTTCATGGGTTCGTGCCGACGCTTGATCACGGGGCCATCCGTCGCCTTCTTATCTTTATTCATCAATAACCCATGAGGGTTGGACTTGATGTACTGAGCCAATGCCTCCGCAAACTTCTCTGATGTGCTGCCGAGGTATCGACTAGGGCTATACACATCCAAGGCAGGAGCGCGCTTCTCTCGCTCGGCGGGCGTGTACTTGTCTAGACGTACTTCTGACTTCTTCAGAGTTTTCTTCATATAAGACACGGCGTCACTGTCGTTGATCTGACCAACAATGCTCTTAGGCTTGTACAGGTTAAGAAGGGTGATTTGGTTTCGGGCGATGAACTCGAACTGGTAGAGGTGCTTCTGCTTTGTAACGTCTAGGGCATCGCCGCCATAGTGGAACTGGTATATGGACGAGTCGCTGCCACGGACAGTGTGATCGTAGTGGACACGGATGCCCTCAAGGTGCTTGATGAGACAGCGCTGGAGATAACCGGATCGAGACGTCTTGACTGCAGTATCGATGAGACCTTCACGTCCAGCCATGCAGTGGAAGTAAAATTCCTGCGGCTTGATGCCCGTCAAGAAGCGACTGGCAACATACCCACCTGCCATGGCTTTCGGCTCGAATGACTTGAACGACGGAAGAGTTTTTCCGCTGACCATTACGGGTACGCGACGACCTTCGAGTTCCTGCTGGCCAAGTGCACATGATATCTGCTGGGCATTGACAGCACTACCCTTCGCACCAGACAGCGTCATAGTTTGCATATGGTTGTCGGGGAATTTGCGTAGAAGACCGTGAGGCATACAAGCGTCGGCGATGGATTTGGTTAGGCCCGAAAGCTTAGTCTTGACGGTAACATCGAGGCCAGCCATTTTGCCGTCATCTCGCAAGACATCTTCAAGCAATGCCGTCAATGCTGCTGGAACTTCCTCCTTGGGTAGTTTGCTCAATGAAGGGAAATTCTCAACGGCACCGTCAAACCCAAGATCACGGCCATGTTGGAGGAGTTCAGTTCTTCTCCGATCACCGTCAGGCGTTAATGCCAGATCGTCCATGCGACACGTGAAGGCCCGATGTTGTAGAAACTTTGTAAATAGCCGGCTCAGAACGCCGAGAAGCTTCCCAGCAACATCAGCTCCATACAGCTCGTATACCGAGTGCACAAGGCCATAATCGGTGGCTCCGAACGCGGATTTGTCAAGGACACCACAGAGAAGTTCGCCGTCAACAAAAATAACCTTGTCTTCCGAGGAATGTTTACCCCATAGATGGCCGGGAACTTTAGCTTTGGAATCGAGGTTCAGCCCCTCCGCGTTGCTCGGCGTGATGTTTTTCAGGACCGTCGAGACCTGCGTAATGCGATTAGGGGCTGAGCGGGCGAACAAAGCATTGTTACTTACGACCTGTTTGCCTGTCCATAGCGGACGTGGCTTCCATATGGTTGGAGGCAGAGTGACCAGCCGTGATAGATGATAACTCTCGTCCTCAGGACGGAGTGCTCCGTATAGTAACTGGAAGTACTCCTCGCGGGAAAAAAAGGCGTCTTGACAGGTCATCCAGACCCCAGCAACAACGTGATCCTGGATGAGGCCGCGTAAGGGTTTACCAGATGTCGGGACCAAATACTGATTCTCAGTATTGGCAATTAGCATCGCTTCCGCACGAGCAACCTGGTTTTCTTCAAGGGGATTCAAAACATGATATAGATTATAATTCGAAGAAGCTCACGGGGAAAATGGATATTCATTTCTACCCAACGAGCGGTTTAGTTTCTGATTAACCTCGGAACTTCAAACCACAATACTCACCGTCACCATCAAAATCAGCTGAGAGCAGTTAGAATCAGGTTCAGTTATACGATTTGTATTTGGAATCCATACCATTATAAGAGTTGCTAAGTATAAGAAGATTAACCATTGAACCTATACTAGCAATTGGAAACTTACCAGTTCGCATAATGCATCCTTATTGTCTTTTCGCCTCGTAAAATCCGGGCCTTGTGGCACATCATGCTTGGTTTGTGAAGGGTTGGTTGACGATTGAGGATCAGGATATCGCCATCCCGAAGATGCCGATACACCTTCTTATTGATCGAAGCCGTGCGCGTTGAGAGTCCGAGGCGACCTGACGAGCTGTCGCTGCCATCTTGAGGTGTCAGCAGCTGGTTGGCGATGGCTGTTCTCTGCTCAGGCGTGAGTTTTTCCTAGCGAATCACGTCAGAACTATGGAAGTAGCGCAATATAAAATATTACCAAGGATTGTTTATGCCCATCTTCATACTCAACCATCGTCGCTCCTGGGTAACCCTTCGGACCAGTAATTACCCATTGCCGCAGTTCGTGGAAATTTGCAGGAGTCACAGGCTCAGGAAAGGTAAGTTTCCTCGCAAAGACAGGTGGGATGCCAATTTCATTTGGCTCGATATTCACATCTGGTGAGATGACGGACCGCGCTGCATAGTTGACACGTTTACCCTGCCAAGAAAATTAAATAATATGCACCTGGCAAAAAACCATTCCGTACCATCATATGTTTACGAAAGAGACCGTCCTTCTTTTCGAGCCCTTGCTTGACACCAGCTGGGGGGAGTTTACCGTTGCGGATAGGCGTAGGATTTTTGTTACTATCCATGAAGCTATTAACGTCGGCTTGCAACTGAACGAGTCCCTCGAGTAAAGCACTAAATAAACGACGCCGCGTTGTATCGTCAACGCCTGATTGCTTCACAGAAGCGGCATGCAGGTCTGCGTTTAAATCACGCAACCTATACGACGTATTCAAAACCTTGGCCAAAAGCTCATTCTGGGGGTGCTCAAACAACGTCTCACCCATGGTAGCAGGCGGACGAAAACGCGTTGGCGGAACAGGGATCACTTCCATGAAGAATATGTCGGCTGATGCCAGTGACAGACCTGCAGCATTTAGGGGGGAGAAGGGGCCATGTCGGCCAAAGATCAGGGAACAAATCTCAGGGCAGTTACGGAAAAGAAGACGCAAATGGGCACGGCATTCTTCTGGTGCCATGACACGCTCATTGCGGCCGCGCGTGGTCTTGACTTTACCATTTGCAGCACGAGGAAGACCGTTCTCTTTCGAGAGACGGGTAGCTTGGAGTTCCTCTTCCTCGTCTGAGTATGTCGGCTCCCCCTCGGGTTCCGATTCCGATTCCGAGTCTACGTCCATAGCATTCGAAGGTTCGGAGCGAGATTTTGAAGCATCTGCAGCTTGCTGCTGGAACAAGAGGACATCTGGCCTTTTAAGGCTGATGGCTCGATGCTGGTTTTTTTGCTTGACGGAGAGATCATATTCGATTATTTTAGTGAATCCCTCCTTGCGGAACGTATAGGCGAAGCTGTTATCTTGCTAAGCCAAAAATTGACATACAGCGAAAACAGCTAACTCACGCGCCACAACCTTCATTGCTACATTTTTTGGTGATGGTTGTTCTCAAAAATTCTTGAATGAGATCTTTCCGGGCCTGATAGACAAGACTGTCCTTGTAGTGATCTCGCTTGCTCCCGGAGGCCTTGCTGAGATGCACCATAACGAATAAGTTGACACGGGAATCAAATTCAGAAATAGTTTCGTCGTGACTGTCTTCGTCGTCGTCACTGGCTGTGTGTAAGGTGATATTGTCTACATCGAGAGCAGCCTCCAGGAGACCATGTTCCAACAGACGGAGTTTGGCGACATATTTGCATATCTAGTGAGGAGCGCTTCAGTCGGGGGGAATGAGCGGAAGGGCATGTGCGCACCACTGATCGACTCAGTTTGAATCTATGACAAAACAAACATGTTGCGCGAAGAATGTTGTACATGTTCGCCATGAACAAAGGGTGGTACACAGGGGCAGGCAGCTCAATGTGACCAAAGTGACCTGGACACGTGAAATAAGTTAAGTGACATGTTGCACAGCTGGATGTAAAGCGTCAGCGCACCTGTCCCAAGACCACCAAGAGTTAGGCACTCACATATCCTGACGATCGCTGGGACCAAGCGCAGGGTCATACAGGCCACCGATGTTCGGCCTGTTCAAGTCATCCAACAATACTGGATTCAAAATCTGCTTGACTGATATCCTCCGAATGTCCTCTGCTGACAGGAATGAGAAAGAGATGCTTGAGACGGTAGACGGAATGGAATGTGATATGTTCATGGCGGACGCAATGGTAGTTGTTCACTGTTGCACTTTTAGATGTTCCGGTAAGATATCATATATAAAGCTAGTACATTTCCAAGCAGGTGAATGCAACAAGCTTTGTACGATACAAGACGCGATCGACATCGACTAAGTTTTTTCTCCCTTCTAATTTGAGCGAGTCACGTGTTGACCACTACCTGGCTTGTCTTGTGTCCATCGGATTAAACGCACACTAGTCTTTTATTTCATTTTGCGTTGGCAAATGGCTGCTAATCCTATGCATGATTCTGCTGTTCAAGCTCAAGCATGATCGATCTGACTGTCGACTCGTAGACGTGCATCTTGGCCAATCTTAGCCAAGTGGTAAGCGTGACAGAACAGAAATCTGTCACTTGCAGGGTCCAGACTCGAAACCTGCTCGAGCTGAACAATCTTTTTTTCCCCTTTTACCACGGCTTGAACATGTCGGGTCACTCATGAATCATTGGGTCTATCTAAGGTAATCATAGCCAACTGGCACCAGAACAGATTAAAAATCTGTTCTGGGCTTCGGTGGCTCGGATTCGAAACCTACCGACAAAGATTTTCCCCCTATATCACACCTTGACATTCACTCTTCGACGGTTCTTCGGAGGTTCATCTTAGCTTTGGAAGCGTCCTGGCCAAAGTGATTGCCACAACAGTGGGTTGTGCAGGTTTGAAACCTGCCGACGACAAGGTTTTTTTCTCTCGGAACCCACCTACATTAATATTGTCTGCCATTACGTCATGGGTGGTTTCATCGGATAAAATATGGTCTTAGCCAAGTGGTTACTTCTCTTGGGCTTCGCAGGTTCGAAACCTGCCGACTACAGGTTTATTTTATTCTATCGAAGGTGTTTACCCCAACAGAACCTAAATCTGTCACTTAGACTGTCAACTGTTCGAAACCTGCCGATGATATTGTTTTTTATATATCGAAACACGCTTTGAAGATTCAAATTTCACTCATGGATGGTTTCCTCGGAGGTACTTAACTCAATTTTGCCTTAACTCAGGTCTTAGCCAGGTGGTTACCACAACAGAATCAAAATCTCTCGAACCCGCTGACGACAAAGTTTTTTTTCCCTACCGGAAGACGCGTCACTCATGAACAGTTCCTCGAAGGTTCATCTTCACTGGTCTTAGCAAATCTGTTTCTCTTGGAGTTGGTTCGAAACCTGCTGATAACATTTTTGCGGTGTATAGATCCTCCATCTTAAATGGGTCATTGCGCCGAAACCTCATGTTTATGTCAAGTTTATGTGATAGTCTGTCCATGAAAAGGAATTCACCTTCACACCTTGCGAAGGTCGTTTGAAGAAACATAAGTTATATCTCCGAGGTGCGTACGTGCCAACCTAGAATCTCGACAGACTGACCAAAGCTGTCAGGATTCACAGTCAACCGAAGTGTTAACGGGGCCGGAGGCCAAAAGAGAATGCGTGCAAGCTAAGAACAGAGCGAGTCTGACAGTCAGGAAAATGATGTGACCTCCCCACCTTTAACTTTCAAGTTATTGCATTGGAAGAGCCAGCCACCAAAGGAAGGTCCACCGATGAGGCTTCAGCGAGGCTGGAAGAATTAAAAGTGCGAGCCATATCGTTCTGATGTGTGTAGTTTGCATGCGCTCTTGTTTTATGTCGATGCCGAGGCGGAATAAAAAATTATTTACTTTCGATTGCTGCGTAAGACCCAGACACCGGACAGAGATGTCAATAGAGAGGTCAACGCGAAACTCTAGAACACCCCATAACGGAAAACTCAAGACGGCAGTGCGGAATATGAAAGTGCGATGAATACATTAACGCATGGTACCGCTACGCTTGACACCTGTTCGACTTTGACCACTATTCTTCTGCGCCTCGCTTACTAGTTCTGCGATCAACTTGTTGTATGTCTCCGAGTCCTGCTGGAGAGCGTCGCGAGTTTGTAGAAGGTGCGTAAGTATAGATGAGGCATTGGTTGTCTCTGTCCGGAGATCTACCAGACACCGTTCAAGTTTTGCCAAGGGCAGGAGGGTTAATTGATCTGCTTGTCGACATATATCATTGGTCAGATCACGGCTAGAGGAAACAGACATACCTGTATCAAGCTTGAGTAGTTCCTCTACTTTCCTGTCATCTAGTTGGGGCTTGGGTCCAATACCAAGTTGTGATACGGTTGGTCCTGCCCGTGTAGACGGCTGTGGAGTGCCCATCCGAGGTGTCCCTGCACGAGAATTGGTTCTAGACGATGGGGCACTCTGCAGTGGACCATTGCGAGGCCCCGGGGGTGCAGACATGGGTCGCGTTGATATATGTAGTGGGGGAAGGGGCTTGCCGCTTGCGTGCGGTAATATTTCATCTAAATTCACGGGTAGTCCAAGAGCGATTAAATGTTGCTGGCGAATGCGTGAGCGCGTCCAGTTGATAGGCTCCATGAGAGGCGGGGAATCCATCAGCATGGTATATAATCCACGACTTTATGCCCTAGAGCTTTAGCATTTAAAGGGAGACATTTCAGGGACAACGAACCTTTCAGGTGTAACCAATATTTGGCTGACACCCTCTGCCTGTCTGATGTCTTCATCTGTGGTCATCGAAGAGATATCCCGAATCCATACGGGATCCAAGATGCGGTTGATCTGTCTCTCCAGGTCTTCTCTGGAAGGTAAGGGGGTTAATCTGAACGGCTCCCAGGCAGTATGAGATGGACCCGGTATTGGCTCTTCATGGAACGTAGCATCTTCTGAGAAATCCCCAAAATCTGCATCCCGCCCGAAATCTGTATCGTGTTTGAAATCCATGCCGCCATCCAGGCCCTCCGCTTCTCCAAAATCCCCAAAGTCACCAAAATCATCTTCCTGTGCAATAGATGGGTTCTGCGTTTGTGGTGGCGTATGAAAGTCGTCGTAATCGTCTAGTCGGTCTTGAGAAGGTGCAGGAGATGGCGGCGCAGGCGGTTCAAGTGAAGAGAAAGATGTGAGATTTGCGAGGCGTGTTGCAATTGGGTCATTGAGTGTAGTACCCCAAACTGAAGCTCCAAACGTGAAATCTTCATCCATCATACGCCTGAATCTGCTTTCAGCTACAAATTGTGCTGTTCAGCAATCGACGAATTTGACCTCAAACTAGTTTAATCAGTGTAACGCCAGGTGGATGTTGTTACCAGAAGGTCTTTGAAAATCATGATGGACTAACGTGACGCTGGAAGGTCTGAATACCAAATTTACTCCTTGCCATGACTTCCAACTTCGAGCCAGAGCTTCCTACTTTCGTCTTTGAATGGCCTTACAATAATGACCATCGGTTCCTGTTCGCTTTTCCGAATGAAAAGAAAATGCCCAATGCGCGTCAAATTCAGCTGCAGCGCCTCTATGATATCGTGAATCTCAGCGTACAACGAGACGACCTTCCCCGTGCCAGACGTGCTTGGTCCATCCTAGCCAGATGCAAAGAAATAAATTGGAAAGCAATGTGGAGGCTGGGCATCACCTTGCTCGAAAATGATGTCCGCGTCATTGAGAGCAATCCACACAAAATAGATTTTCTACGGGCAATGTTACTCCAACTTCCGGAGGAGGTATGTCTCGATTTACTGTCCTTACAATCGCGACGAAGTTAAATGACGTCCCAGCGAGAACGCATTCTCGCTGAATTGGTCCAGCATTACATTCTTGTTGGCAGGTACAGAGACGCACTCGATGAGCTTGAGTTGTATGTGCCTTTCTCCATCGAAAACCCAAGTTCTGATCTTGTAGCAGTTACCTCCCTTCGTTCCCTTATCGTGACAATCCAGTGCTCCACGTCTATGCAGGCTTGCTGTGTATTTTCATAGCTCAGCCTCCAGAATCAGCTGGTCAGTTTTCAAAGTATCGATTACTCTGGCGCATCGGTCTCAAGTCCTTGTTCCAGGCGCTAATGAGGTTGGAGGAACCACCTATGACAGCAACTCTCTGAGTCGCGCTCAGATCTTTCTTGAACACGCAAAGGCATTGGATCCCCATAATATTGTCGCAAGCGAGTTTTTACACAAGGTAGGGGTGTTGTCTGATTCTGCCCAACCTGAGAACTCACTTTCATCAGCTGCATTCCATTTCTCAAGGACCAGGATTACTCTCTTTCGCAAGCCATGATTCTGAAGATGAGACTCATGCCAAACGTTGTCAGCCATCACACCCAAAGCGGAGGAGAAGTAATTTTTGATGGTACTTGTTCAACGGATCACAAGTGAATGCAATACCGTACCCCACTATCGCACAATCAACCATCTGAGTCCGACTCCATATCAATAGTGGGCATTCCTTCCTCTTCCTCGTCATCGTCCACTACCATCGGGATAAGTCGAGGCTCAACCATAGGAGGAGCAAGTTCCACCTGAATGGAAGATGGCAGCAGAGATTTTGTTGGTTGTCGACTTGATATCGCTGAAGAGATGTCGGCAGACTCTTCCGTTGGTGCTGTCGTGATCGAAGACGTCATTTTCTGATTGGTTGGCACCGAAGATGGTATCGAGATTGGTCCAGGAGCTGTGATTTTTGGTGTTGGCATGGGTAAATGCGTCGATACGGGCCAAGGAGCTGGTTCGGGTGTTGGGGTCACTATGGTAGGATCTACCATGTCATCCATAACATTTGCATCATGTGTTGTAGCCAAGGCAAGTGATGTACGAGCAGCAAGCTCTTCGTTGCTTTCCTCGGCGCGGAATAGGGATAGCGCTTCCACATGAGGCAGCGGGCGGACTAATGGTGGACCGCGAGGATGGAGAAGAAGGTCAACTTCTTGTTGTAATTGGAGTTTTGTGTGCATTGTCTGCTAGCAAACCGGTCGTCATGTTGGTAGAACAGAAAAAGATAAGCGTTGCCTACATGTTCATTGCCTTGCGTCACGACTGATCTGAGGACCAAGCCAAGACTTTTGCTCATCGCACTCGTCGTCCCTCGAGCAAGCTCTAGACACATATCGTTCACTTTTGCATGTACTAAACTGTGGAGATGAACGTCTCGAGACAAAGAGGAACGTGACATGGCTGTCAATGACAGTGACAAGGATAATATGACACGGCAAGCCAGAGAGCGGATGGCGGATTGCAACTCAGCGCCTCGCATAGTAACTTGCAAAGCTAGAGGACGATTAGCGATCACTTGGCTGGTCCTGACCTGAACTCACCGTCTAGAGCACAAAGAATAGCCTTTCCTTCGGCGGTCGATGAACAAATGACGTCTTTTGATAGTTTAAACACCCCGTCGTCTTCGTAATCTCGTCTGCGTTTCCTGCCTTTTTTGTTCTGTCCAGAACTCATTTCACCTGTGTGTGCATCAAACTGAGTTGACAGCAGCGGCATGAGAGAAAGCATGATGGCTTTGACGAGCCTCGTGGAGCTAAGCTCGCTGCTGGGAGGGAAGCTATTGCTCAGTAGAGCTTGGATGCACTGAAGCAATGCACACCGCCGCTCTCTACAACATACGTAGGTCAATCCTTCAGGGTTGAAGTCTCAGCGACGTACGGTGGAAGGTTTTGTTCGAGATGGTATGTTATCATAACAACCAGCCGGGACACGTACGGTGTCAGTCGATGCTGAACGCTAGATCAAGGCCGTCATTCGGGGCACAAAATAAAATTGCGTTTCTACCGACGTTTTTGCCAGGCAACAGAGCAGATGACATGCAGAACTCTGCAGCTCAGGCACAACAGCAAGCTCCAAGGCTCTGACTGTTGCGTCAACGTGGCCTTCTTTCTAGCATTTGGTTGAAAATGTGTCCGCAGAAAGAAATACAAAATGATACCTCTTCATCAGGGGTACAAGCTAGCAGGAATAGACAGAATTCCATTATACGTCCTATAGGCACTTGGACTGGTCTTTGAACGGTCGTCCTGTACTCGTGTAAGTATATTCTACCATCCCATACAATATATTCACCTTAGTAAACTGCAAAGCACTTCAGCGCTGCATTGCAACCTGTCGAGATTGAGGGCGACAGATAGCACTGGATCATCACATGTTGGTCCACTGGAGGGTGGAGGGCCGTTCTTCACTGTATGAGATATCAATAAGAGGTTGATAGGCCAGATACCAGGACCTTGCCTGTAAATGTAGTTCTAAGACCCATCGACGTAGCCCAGAGACACTGAAGGGTCTCATCTACAGACTTCTTCCACAAATTTGCGGCCCCAACCTTACCCCCGGTGTAATGAAGAACAGCGTATAGGCCCGCTGCGTTATGCAGCAGCAATTTATTGGTGCGTTGCGGTGCGTATCCATTGAGGATTTGATGACACATATTTGTGATGGAGGAACACGATGCTCGATTCAACGAAGGATACAGAATAACCATATCCCTCAATGTGTCCATCGCTAGAGCCTGACATCTTACTTTCAGACTCCTGTTATTTTTATGAATGTCAATCACAAACTTTGAGCTCGTAGTCTGCAGTCTTTTCGACGATAGATACCAGCGCCTGGCTAAATTTTGGAACGGTAGGAGTAGCTAGTTGCCTTTGGAGCTCTGGCACGTCGGTCGCTGCACTGAGGACATGCCGAAGATACCTTATTGATGCCTTCAGCAGCGGCAGAGGTTCAGGTTTCTTGAGTGACATGTTAGGTATCTGAGTATTAGGATAGATGCATCTCACAAACTGTAAGGATGGACAGCGCGAGTCCTGCCCAGCTCTGCGCAAACTCTGCCATCGTAGACTTCGATAACGATGAAGTACGATATGCAATGCATATGCCAGCCCACCGACCTCCAGCATCTTTTGAATGAATCAAGGAAGTCACCCGGGATGTCCATTTCTGAAGATGAGGGGAAGGCGACAAGGAGTCCTCTGATAGAGTTGACAGCACAGATGACAGGTGCAAAACTGAAGAAGCATCCGAGGCCAACTGTAACTGGAGCAGTGATTTCAGCGGATGAGAAGCCATTGCTCGGGATATGGAAAGAGCAAGCAAAGCCTGAGTTAACGACTAAGACTTTGAAAAGATTGTATTTTTAAATTTGGGCAGGAGCTTTAGCTTTCAACAACGGTAAACAGGTTCTATTACGCGTCGGTTAGTCAACGTCCTGATACAGGTTGCAGCATGCAGCATTTCGGCGACCTCGACCCGGCCACAGAGGAACAATTACATCTCAACAATTTTGAGGTACATCACATTGTTTACACTACATGCAGCTGGGCTGATGATCGATGTTGAGTAGGGCAAATTCGATGTTAAAGAATTTGTTGGCTCCATATCTGAGAGATTAATCACGCAATCGAAGGCAAGCTCTGGGCGTATGTGTGGGTATACTCCCTTTGTAATAATGTCTCACTTTGTGCTTTGTCTAGCATTCGATCCCAAGCCATTTATACGAACATTTGAAGCAGTCGTTGACAAATTGATCAGCGTGCGCAAGGATGTCCAGGCTAAGACAGAACAGATGGAAAAGAGTGTCCGGGTGGCAGAAAGGGAGTACTCGAAGAAGATGGCAGACCTGAACCGAGGGTTTGAGGTACGTCTCTATGCGCAACTGTAGGCTGCCCTGGTTGACTACCATGCTCAGGCCGTTGGATCATCCTTTTCGACAATGGAAAGCAAGATGAACGAAGTTGGACGCACTGCAGTCCGAATAGGTAGCTTGTACCAACGTTTCCAATATTCTCGTTAACTGTCAGCGTCAGGTGAACAACTGGAATCTATTCACGTTGAACGCCAGAGAGCCCAGGCTGCCCATGACCTCATCGATTACTACAACCAATTTTCGCGTGGTGATACTTCACGTTTGGATGCTTTGAAGAAAGAAGGTCGAGAGGGTCGAAGTCAAGTTGCCGTTATATTGCGCCGACTCACAACTGTGGCTCGAGAAGTAGATCTCCCCAGTGCAGATAAGGTATTATTTATTGTCCCTTTCCTCCATCTTGTGGCATAACAGACATTCAGACCCGAGAGAACATTGACAAATACTGCGAGAAATTTGAAAAAGATATGATATATCTCTTTGACCGATGCTACCGAAAGGGAGACCCAAAGTTGATGCATGTGTGTTTCTTTGTCTTCGTTATATTATGACATATCTGATATCTCGTTAAGCACTGCGCACAGACATTATTAGATTTCAACGGTGGCGCATCTTGCGTTCAGATCTATGTCAATCAACATGATTTCTTCATGAATAAGGTTCGTGACACTGCAAACCACAGCGAGGACCTGCTGTACGTTCTCCGTTACCTGCGGAATGTTTCTTCTTACAATTTCATG